TCAATAAGACAGATCAAATCTGAATCTGCTAATCCTCTTAAGAAGATGCTTTCATAACTTCAACACATGTCCAACAATGATATACAACAAATCATGTAACATGCCTCAGATTGACATGACCTTAGACCTTTTTTTTTATCACAATCAAATCCAGACAATCACTTAAAATTTATAAGATTTGCAATAAAATTGAGATTATGTTAGATATAATTAATTATGACTCATATTCCATTAACTTCCCATCAAAATTGTCTTATACAGATATCAGCACAACAAATATGATATCGAAAATCAGAAAAATTTATAAACTTCAATCTTTATAGAAAGGAGGGATGATGGATTCAAAGCAGACGTTAGAACAATGGATTCAGAGTAAATTGAGATTAAACTGAGTATGTTGTTAGGACTATTCTACAGATTGTGCAGATATTAAATTTAAAATATTAATAAATACTTAATTATTCGTTCAAATAACTATGTGAATTTAACAATTTATTTATTTATAATTTAATAAATACATATCAAGCATCTATACCTAATTGTAAAATATAAAATTTAGTAATTATTTTTATCATTAAGATTCAATTTTGATCTTTATTTTTTTAAAAAAATATTTTATATATAATTAAAATTTCAAAAAACTTATGTTTTGAAAGTTTTAAATTTAAAATTATCAAATCTTAATTCTTTAAAAGAAATTATAATTTCAAGATTTTTTAAAAAATAAAAGATCAAACTCAAAATTATTGTTATTTGAACAAAAACCCAGCCGCACCACACCACCTCTCTACCACAATATTGGTTCCTGGTGCCATCCTTTCCCGAGCCGCAACACCTGATGACTTGCCTCAGCTTATTTTAGACACCAACCAAACAAAATTAGCTTTCTTTCAACGCTAAATCACCCATCACTATAAAAGGCCCTCTTTCCTTAACTCACAAAATCTTCAATATCAAATTTTAGATCTCAAATCTCAAATATTTATTCTTTTCTTTGAAGAAATTGAGTTGTAATGGCTGATTTTCGCCTTCAAGATCTTTGTCAATCTCAATTTACAAAGATTGCAGCTGAAAAAGCCAAGATAGCTGCAGAAGAATGCTTCAAGTTGGGAAACATCGACAGCGCTATTCAACAAGGGTTCGCAGCTCTTGACCTCAATCCCAAGTTACGGATCATTCAGAAATACATTGCTGCCTATCTGATTCACAAGTTTGCTTCTATGCTAAGTCTTTGCAAAGAGATGAAATTGGACGATACTAAGGTGCTGTATTCGATTCTCTTTATTGAAGATTGTTCTTCCGTAGTTGATGTTGCTACGATTAAAAAACATTACAAGGATGTGGCGCTCTTGGTCCATCCGGATAAGAATGATTCGGTCGCTGCTGAAGGTGCGTTCAAGATTGTTCGTCAGGCTTGGGAGACTCTTTCATCTGATCATCACAAAAGGAGAAGAAGAGTTTAAAGGAGATTGAAGTTTTTTTTTGTTTGGATTAGATTTATTTTTATATGTATTTAAATTTTTTATAATAATATGTTGTAATTAATTCTAATTTTATTTTAATTTTCTGTTTAGCAGTATCACTAAAAGATAATCTCCCTCTACTCTGAAAACTTCCTGATATCAAGCTGCCAAATTAGCTTTTTTAGCTTCAGATTTAGTCCATCTTTTCATAGGACGATCTAAACATCAATTTTACAATTTTATGCGAATTAGAGTCGATTTAAATCTCGTAATTTATTTTTTAAAAAATTAATAATTAGGAAATGATATTTTATTATTATACTTATAAATTACATTGAAACAGTATACAAAGTCATTAATTTATCATTAAATTTTAATACTTTTAAAATCTCAATTTTTTTTTATTTAATGTTGTTTGTATTTTTGTTTTTCTTATTCATTTGTTTTTTATATTGGATGTAAATATTTTGAATAAGTAACTCTTTAGTTTAATGGTTAAGATCTTTAAAAAAGATGCTTTTTTAATGAGTTAAAATCTTACCATTTGTACATGTTTAACTTATTTGTCGTATAATTTTTAAATAATCATTAGTTAAAAATCAATCCAAAAACTGGATTTAACGATTTGATCTTTCTATTAAGAACAAGTGAGTAAATGTTTAAAATCATAAAACATCTTAAAAAAGTGTTAGTCCTAAACAACTTAGATTATGAATTACCCATAAATTAGGAGACTAGCTTAAAATATATCCAAATCCATTGATCTTCCTCAACTATGTACCATTGGGAATATATTGAACAAAATCATCCTGATCAACATCTAACTACAGCGTAAAGACTCAATTCATCAGCAATATTGTTTACGACAATGTAGATATATTCCTTAACGAAGCCATTGCAACGTGTAGTGACCAGTTTAACTAAGACTTAAGGGGCCATATACAAATGTAACCAGTGGCATAGGTAGCAATTGTTATTGGCGACCCAGATTGCTAAAATGAGCTTCATCAAGTACTTCTCCAGACTTAGTAAAACCATAGTGACCTGGACATCACACTGGCTATGGACAATCCTGGCAAATGCCTGGATGCTTTAAATGTCATGCTTGAGGTTTGAACTTGACGACTAGTACAATTGTCAGCATTCAGAGAGCAAGATGACACAGATGGAGAAAGGGAAGCAGGGGGTATGTACCCACTAAGAACGCCTGTAGTTTGGAGATCCCCGTCAGAGACTTGCCCAATATTCAATGAAGAATTATTTGATTGAGATGAAAGAAGACTGTAATCAATAACAGGAGTCCTACTAAAGCTGCCATTCTGTTACAGAAACAGGCTATTTCCTGCGGCAAACTAGCAGATGACTGAGGGGTACAACAAGGCAAGATGGCTGACATTGATCGAACGACTGGGCTCAGGAACAGTAGATTGCTGCTGCTGCTGTTTCTGGATTGTCGTCTGCTTGCTGCTGCAACAAGTCAATAAGCATGTTACGTTCTGAGAACTAACCCTCCAAGGCTGCTACTGGGAGCTGTGTACCAATGTTATTTGAGGGCCATGCTCCAAATCAGCAGAAGAAACATCTTAACGGATACAATAGATTTGGGAAGTGTTTGGAAATGCTGGATTGGCATTTTACTAGAGATTGACCAAATGCCACACCATGCTCAACTGGAATGCACTTGGGCCTTGAAGGGATGCTTGAAGAAGAGCTGGCTGGTCCACTGCTGTAACTAAATTACCTGTTGGTCGACCTAAGAGCTCAGCATGGAGGGCTGGTATTTTTGTGGAGGAATTGTCCAGAGGCACAATGCTTGGAGTCAAATCTCCAAGTGACCAATTTTAACATTCGGGTCTAGCGGCCACAAATGGATTAGAAATTCCACCTTGTGAGCCCACCACTATTCTCTTCAAGTATAGCCTGAACTCGCACATAGAGAGCACAGTAACTTAATAAAAATACAGTTTTTAACAGATTCAAGTACTAAATTTATCTTGTTAAAGGAAAAGATACATGATGTGTATATTCTTTGAAAAAGAATGTATATATTTAACAGGATTCAAGCTCCTAACAAGGTTACTGTTCAGAAATGGCTTCAACATAAGCAGCTGGCAGGTGGACAGGTGTCCTGCAGTGCAGGCAAGCCTCATATCACACTCATTAATCCAAATTTGACAAGCAAAAAAAAATGAGCAATGTTACAAGCATTATTAACCATTTGTAATTGTTTTTTATTTTGTATCTTAACTCAATAGAGTCCATTTCCAATAAGTGAAAATGAATCAACTAGGCCAAAAGGTGATAATTACATAATTCACACGATGTCAAATAACAGCACAACAATAATGTTGTGCCTGAACAGGTTATATATTCAGTATCACTTCAGCATGAAGCAGCTGGCAGGTAGTTCTGCCTCAAGGCAAAGTCTCATCATAATCCAACATAAAACCATGTGATTGCAGAAGGAAGTACAAAAATGAACACAATACAATGCTTATTCACCATTGTGATTCTTTTATAAAAGAAATTTTAAAACTCAATTAGTGAGAACCTGTTACTGTTCTGGCCTTCACAAGTAGTGAAACACAGCAAATGGTAAATTTTCATTAGAGAATGAATCAAGTGGCAAAATATTTTTTGTGAAACAAATGCCACATTAAAGCAACCAAAGGCCAAATCAACTTAGGCACATGCATGCTGTTAAGCAAATTCAAATTTATGAATAACCAAATTAAATTACCTATTCTGTGAAAACACTGATGAGATCATTTGGAGGAAATTGTTGTAGCATTGGTATGCCCACTTTCACGTTATCTACAAATTCTATCCTTGGCTCCTGCTTCACTCTGGTACCAGTGTTCTCGGCAAAGACTTTTCTACGGCTAGAGGAACTGCTTACTGGTGATTGAAATTCATCAACTGCAAACCGAGATGGAAGGCAAGCCTCTTTATTAAAATATTCAAGATCTGAATGTCCAAAATGAACTGGGAATGTCCGAGCATAACGACAGCAAAAACTGCTTTTAACTAGTCCACTCTAACACAGCTGAGAGCCAATCTCCAAAAACTCAAATATATTTATGATCAGTTCAAATTACTAGCGGATACAAAAGAAAATGCAGTTGAGATACACATGGTGAAGAACCAAACCTGTAAATGGCTTGCAACATTTTCTCTAGTTAAACCAGGCACATTCATGAGCTCAAGAATTCCTTGGGAACAGCCTCTAAAATGGCAGCCACAGTGTTTTATTCAGCAATAATACAAAGAAGCAAATAGTATTAACAATTCTATTCTACATTGCACAGAATACTAAATTTAAAGTTTTAACAAATGTTCAATTGTTCGTCCAAGTGATTATGTCAATTTAACAAATTTGGTATTCTCTGCAGATAAGTAGCTTTGAGGATTCTTGTGCGGGAAGCAAGTGGCTAGTATCAGTCGGGTTATCGACATTTTCGACATTGGATGGGAACTTTGATCTACAAGTCCACTCTGCTGGTCATGACATATGTGTGGGTCGTTTATGTTGATGGCATTGTATTGCCCTTATGTTTACAGTAACTGTGAACTATTATGTGCGTGCTTCGACTCCAAAATGATAGTCAATGTATGCCTTTTGTTAATAGTACGAATTACTCTTGTTGAATTGAATGAGTATGGGCAGTTTGTTGTGGACGTAATTGAATTTATGTTATAAAATGTGTCATCTGGGCCTGGGGAATTAATGTTATTGTCAACCTGTCGGCTCATTTTATGAGAGACTTGCTTAGATCTCATAAGTCTTGCTTGTTGAACTTATGTGTTAATTTTGTGATTTCAAGTTTGAATCGTGACAATA